TCCTTTCTTCCGAGCTCCGTCGATATCCGATCACCTGCGAGCAAATAACGGTGAGCTACCCGGCGGTGTGTGGCCGGAAACACCCTCCGACGGTCAAATTAGCATGCACCTTAGAGGGAATAGAGAGAAGGGAGAGAGTGTTTGAGTGTAAGAAATTCCTTACAGAGTGTTCGTGTATCGCGTATGGGGGGCGCAGACATGCTTATATACCTTCTGAGCCCCATATCCACTCCCTGTCATCTCCTGACACGTGGCTCTGCTATCCCATCTGTCAGCATAAACCATGCCGTTCATCACCTGCTCTCAACTGCCTGTTGAAATGCGAGTTTTTAGCCCACTTGATTGTGGCAAAATCATGTTTTCTAAGCCCACTCGAGGGTGGCAAAATTCACGTCTTAGCCTACTTGCGAGTAGCACCTTCAAACCATTTTCAAACAAACAAACATGATATGATTTGTTCCAACTTAGGCGATCTAGTCTATACTTATGTGTTGTGCGCATCACATAGTAATTCCAGGCTAATAACTGGAATAAAAACGCATGTGTTTTCAAAAACAAGATATCATGTTAGTAAAGGCCGATCTTTGATCGGGCGAGCGGGGGTGCTCATAGATGACCTTCCCCAATCGTACCTAAGTTCCCGAGCCAAGGCAACTTTGGTGATGACGGACACGTGGCCTTAGGCAACGAGTCAGGGTTTCCTAAATTCCCCCCAAAATAAATATTTAGGTGGCGACTCTGTATCTGGCAAAGCAGTCCATGTTTGGCACTTCTTTCTTAAAAATCAGTTTTTCAAAATGATTTTCCAGATTTGGACTCTTTGGTGATTTATCAATCTCGCATTGCACTTTACAAGATCAAATTAAGAACCGTGACATTGAGTCCGAACTGTAGTGAGCCCAATGAACAAAACAGGATTCTCCCAGAACGTTCGGGCGCGTCTACAGACACCTACATATATATATAAATAGTGAGCTAAAGCCCAGTGAATAACATATGCGTAAAGAGGTTAGGAATGAATGTCGTTTCAGTATTTAAAACAGTCATTTGAACAGTATATCAGTTATTCGATCATAACAGTCATAAGTGGTACATCCAATAGCAAACAATACAGTAGGTTTTAACAGACCGAACAGTCAGTTGATGGCCATCATAACAGTAAACAGTAGTGGTTCCAAACATGGGAACCGACAGAGATCTCTGTGACAGTAGCAATACAGTACAGTAACAGTAAATTGCTATGGATGCCACGAATACAGTTCGCAAATAGGACAAGTATTCATTCAGTAAGAAACATCATTTCAGAAAGTAGTACAGTTGATCATTTAGAAAATATTCATGATTGAATATATCTTTACAACATTGTTACTCACAGAACACCGGGCTACAGATAGGCTAGAGCGTCCTCGGATGCCAACCCTACACAGTTACAAAATGAGCACACACTAAGTTACACACTTGGGAATCAATGACTTAGTCCCTAACTTGACTCAGTGTGGTTCTACATCAATATCCTCATTAAGATGCCTTAAACTAGGCCTAGGAATGCCTAGGATGGAATAAGGATACAAAGATGCACTTTAAAATACTTTTCAAATTTTTGATGAAACAGGGGTCCTGCTCGAGCGTGGTTTTCTCCGCTCGAGCGGAAATGCAGACAAAAGAGCTACGCTCGAGCGTGACTTTCCTCGCTCGAGCGGACTGCAAAAGTACTGGATGTATGAAATTCACGCTCGACGGGCGCTCGACCCCCTCGCTCGAGCGTGAGACACAAGTCCTCGCTCGAGCGTGCATTACCTCGCTCGAGCGGACTGTAAACACATGCAAAGTACTGGATACACACATTTCACACTCGAGCGTTACTTTTCCCGCTCGAGCGGACTGCATGAACTCAGAGTGTACGCTCGAGCGTGAAGTTCCCCGCTCGAGCGTGGATCCAAAATCTGGAATTTCCAAATTCGTCTCCAAGCATGAAACTCAACATTTAAAGCATCAAATTCGATTCATTTGGGCCAATTTTCTGGAAAACACTTTAAAACTCATAATATGACATGTTTCAAAGATCAATTTACAAAACCAAAGCCCAAAGGTAGTTCCAATAAAACACAATTTCAACAAAACTTCATGAACATGATGAACATAAGACATGCATGTGTTCAATTGAAATCAAAGCTTCCAATACATGAGCAAATGAGTCAATTCACTCAAAAACATGATGAACATGGACCATAGCTAGAATAAAGACATGCATGTGAGGATTTCCATGAAATCAACCTCAAAACTCGACAATGTGTACATGTATGCAAGATTTAAGCTTCAATTCAACATGTTAGAACCAATTCTAGACTTAGATCACTAAAGACTCATTAACCATGCAAGGTACAACTAGAATACAAGTTCAAGAAGATGATTCTCCTACCTTAGGTCCTCAATTTCAAGAATGGAAGCTCAATTGTGCAATTCTTCTACAATTCTTCCAATTTCCAAGCAAACTCTTGTTGAAACTAAGTTTTTCCCTATCTCCTACTCTCTCCCACGGTTTGGTCTCTTAAAGATGAGCAAATGACATGAAATCAAGCTCTAGATAAGGTTTAACAAAGTGGCCCACTAAGTGGCATTTTGGTAAATAAGCCAACTAATGTAATTTACCATTATTTAATCTAATTTAATCATTCCAAATCAAATTTCAATTAAATATACCATAAAATCACATAAATTTTAATTAACATGAAATACTAATCTATTTCAGATTCGGCCGCCGATAAGGCCTTCAATTCACAGTTCGACACTTAAAACATAAACAGATCAATTAACAGTCAAACAGATAGACATGCATTCAAACTAATACACTCAATCAATCTGTCAGAATTTCAGTCAATCAGTCACTTAACATACTTAATCATAGATTAGCACTAATCAGTGGTAAGGGTTATCACATTTATGACACAGAAGTTGGCAGTTGGAAGCATTACAATTCAATTAGGCCGCGGCCCGAGTCGGAGACACACACTACAACGAGGCGTTGGTGCAGATAAGTTTGGTTGGAAGATGTGAGGTTGTAAGTTCACGGGTGGCTTGTGTTTTACCGAAGTTTTGTTTTCTATGTTTTGGTTAGCATGTGTGATGTTAGATGGTGACGGTGTTTTTTAAAATGTGGCAAAACAAAAATGTGGTTAACTTTGTACGAGAGAAGCAACTTTCAAGCAATAGTGGAGACGTGGTGTTAACGCAGGATCGGGATTGTGTGTTGGAAATAGTAACTGACTCCCCACAACAGCGATTGGATTTGTATGTATACTTTGTAAATTTAAGTTATTACGTATTTGTTACAATTAGCATTTGTTAAGTCTGAAATGTTTGTTGGTGTACGTGGTGTTGTTGTCAACAATAGGCCTGATTGCGTTATCATCGTCTGTTATGTTATGAGGCAATATGTCCATCACAACGGGATCAAGAAATGGAAGGTACGAACTGTGTCAAAGCGCGGGTGACGATGGTGGAAGCATTTGTAGAGGACCCTACCAGGGGACTACAGAACGTGGCGAATGCAGAATGTGGCTGAATACATCACGTAGTGTTTTGTTTTTGGTTTATTTCCGTTTTTTTTTTTTTTTGTTTTGTTTAGTTGGGTAACTTAGGTTTTGCTTGGAATTGTTTAGAAAGTGAGTCACGGTCTTTCTGATGGTATGATTTGTGTGACACAGTGTTGTCATGCAAGTCCTTTTTTTAGACCTTGGTTCATTGCGTGCAGCATTTTTGTTTGAATAATCCAAACATGAATTATGTAGTCATATTGATGGGCTAATGAATGTGAAATGTTTGTTGGTGAAATGTTTGTTGCTTACAGCATTTAGGTCTGAAATGTTTGTTGGTGTACGTGGTGTGATTGTCAACAATGTGCATGATTGCGCTATCATTGTCTGTTATATTATGGGCTAATGAATTACAAATGTTGCTTTACAATTAGGGTGCCTATTTTGGGGTAATGGACTCATTGATGTGGTGTTGTGGTTGACATTGGAGACATGCTATGAAGGTGGCTGGCGTTTGAACATTTATGCTCCCGTACTTTTTGTTTAATTGTTCACTATGGTGTGTTTAGTTGTTGGTTGGCTTTATTGAATATGTAATTTGAAGTGACTTGGAAGATGCGTTGTGATGTCCTCGCAATGTAATGCAGGTTATTTTCTACATCCAGTTGAAATGCGTCTGGGACTTATGGGCGCCAATTCAAAAGAGCGAGACTATTTTATGTGGGTTGATTTGCTGCAAAGTAGTCGTCATAATTCCAACATAGGTTTTTCAATAATACAATGTCCTGTGTTTGTGTTTGTTGGTGGAAATATGAAGGACTAGATGTTGTGTTGTTTGTGGTGTGAAAGTTGAATAGAAATTGGGAGCTGATGGTTGTGGGGACTGAGTAGGTAATCTAGGGTTGTTACATTGAGGGTGGATTACTTTTGCGTTGGACAATCATGTAGTGGAGTCGCTGAGTTATGCGTTAAATGAGTCCAATGAATTTGTCGTTGAAAGCATGTCAGCAAATTTGAATGTGACACCCCAAAATACGAGACATCGTTTGTTCGTTTGAAGCATGTTAATTTTTTTTGAACAGAACACAAAAGGCATAGTCTGAAAGTCAAACCCAAAACTTTTAAAACCTGTTAATTTGTTTTGAATAGAACACAATCAGTCTGAAAGTGAAACATAATACCAAATGTGGAAGGGCTAAAATGTTAAAACAAAATAAAAAAAGCATGATATGAATCTTAAAACGTAACACCAACATTAAAAACGAACTAACCACTTTATTTTAGTTTGTAATTAAAGCTAAAATATCTTATTGCATATGACTAAACAAACGTAAAACATTAGAAAATATAGAAATAGTTCGGAAAATGAACGTGGCCACACAATGGTTGGCACTATATTGGTTTGTTGCATGTCTTCCTGTTATGGTTTCCCAGGCGGCCGCAACAGCCACATCGAATCTGTTGCACTTATTCACCTTTAGACGGTATCCGTTTCTTCTTTGGTCTGCCAGGTGGTCGACACACTACCGAAGGTAGAATAACATAATTTTTCAGATTAGCATGTGGTTTTTCAACTGTTGGGATTGGATATATGGTGTGGAAGTATGATAACTGATAGGTTGACACATGAAAATAAGGTTCAACCAATGCATTCAAGTTGTTGCCACTGTTGCGAAAGGCAACCATTGCATGTTGACAAGGAAACCCATTGATTTGCCATTGGAAGCATGAGCATGTACACTTGCCAATGTCCACCAACACTGATGGGTGTGAGTGGACCTCGAACACGTCATCATTCGACTGACTGACTATCCACGACCTTTCATCACTGTACGCCTTGTCCAGTTTAGACTCCATGACCGGACACATGGCACCAGCCCACGTACTTGATGCTCCCCTACGTTCAGACATCTGATTCATTTCCTGTGTCTTGATTGCGTCAACCAAATGAGTGATTGGCAAATTGCGTACTTCTTTTATCCAATTGTTAAATGATTCAGCGGCGTTAGAACACATCTCGCCGTAACGTTTGCCCCTGCAAAATATGAGTGACAAAAATGGGTGTGTGACATAACAGCGAAAGCAAAAAAAGTAAACAGTGAAAGGTTGTGTAAAAGAATGAACTTTTGAATTGTATGGTGTCATTCACCTGAAGTATGCGTTGGCCCATCGGTGCGGCTCTAAATCTTGTAAGAAATTTATAGCGATGTGTCGACCGGACTGTATGAATGCATCTATTTTTTCACTGAAGGCAGTGACGGTCGGTGCATATGCACAAGCTCGCAACTTACTTACCATTCCAACGCGGTATAGTTTGTTCACATATTTCATCTTGTCTTTCAAATTCCTCTGTAAATGTTGCATGCAAAAAGCGAGGTAGGCCGTTGGAAAGACAGTAGGCAGTGATTCTATAATGCCGACGTGACGGTCGGAAACAAACGTCAAAACCCGATCCCCATCAACAACGTTAGCTAGGTTCTGTAAGAACGAAGCCCAATTCTGCACGTTTTCAGAATCAACAATTGCAAAAGCAACTGGGAACAAACCTGTGTGCATAACATAAATATTAATTACCAGCCGTTGAAACACATAATTACCAACGTTTTATGTCCAATCCCAATCGGGTAGCAAAAAAAAAAACAAAATCTATAACCCGAAAAACAGATAACGTGCATAGTGAGTATATTACCTTCGTTCCCATCTTTGGCGGTTGCCGCAAGTAGATTTCCCTTGAATCGCCCTTTCAGAAAGGTACCATCCAAAAACAATAGCGGCCGACAGTGCTTAAACCCATCAATAGATGCTTTGAATGATATGAAATGCCTATTGAAACGACGGGTGTTATGTTCATCAAAGTCAAGATTAATATAACTTCCTGGATTATATTCCATAACGACATTGCTATACCAACGCAGTTGGTCAAACGACATCGAATGGTCACTGTAAAGTTCTCATCTTGCCTTTTCGACCCCCAACCAAGCTATGCGGTAACTAATTTGCAAACCCTATTCTTTTTTGAAATCATATTTGACATCGGTTGGGCGAGTCAATGGTTTGTCGTGTAAACGTTCTGCAATAACGTCCGCAACAAGTTCGGACCCCATCTGCGGGTTTCGGTCAGTACACATAGCGACCCCACAAGTGTGCTGACGGTGCCATTTTTTGAGGTAAAAATATCCATTCGCATTCAACACCCTCGCATGGATGGACCATGGTGTGACAACCCTCACCACTGATTAGTGCTAATCTATGATTAAGCATGTCAAGTAACTGATTAGACTGACGTTCTGAACTGATTGATTGAGTGTATTAGTTTAAATGCATTTCTATCTATTTGTCATTGAATTATCTGTTCATGTTTTAAGTTTCGAACCGTAAATTGAAGCTCTTATCGGCGGCCGAATCCGGAACTGATTAGTGTTTTGTGTTAATTAAAATTAATGTGATTTTATGGTATGTTTAATTGAAATTTGATTTGGTATGATTAATTAGATTAAATGAAGTTAAAATGCATCAACTTGAGTTATTTACCAAAATGCCACTTAGTGGACTATTTCATGAGCCTTTTATTTGATTTATACATGTTAGCATTATCATAACATTTCTTCAGCCATTTCTTGAGCCAAAACTGACTAGAGAGAGAGAAAATTAGGAGAGCATTGGTTTCAACAAGTTTTGCTTGGAGAATTAGAAGTTTTGAATAGAGGATTGCATATTTAAGCTTCTACATCTTGAATTGAGACCTAAGGTAGGAGAATCATCTTCTTGAATTTGTATTTAAGTTGTGTCTTGCATGATTCATGGAAATTTGGAGATTAATGTCAAGAATTGGTTTAAAATGTTGAATTGAGAGCTAGATCATGCATGCATGTATACATTGTAGATTTTGAGGTTGTTTTCATGGAATCCTCTCATGCATGTCCATATTTGGGTTTTAGTCCATGAATTCATCATGTTTTTGAAAGTTTTGACTCATTTGATTATGTATTGGAAGCTTTGAAGTTGATTAAATTCATGCACGTTGCATATTCATCATGTTCTTGAAGTTTTGTTGAAATTGTGTTTTATTTGAACTACCTTTGGGCTTTGATTTTGCAAATTGATCTTTGAAACATGTCATAATATGAGTTTTAAAGTGTTTTCCAGAAAATTAACCCAAAAGGATCGAATTTGATGCTTTAAATGTTGAGTTTCATGCTTGGAGACAAATCTTGAAATTTCAGATTTTGGATCCACGTTCGAGCGAGGAACTTCACGCTCGAGCGTACACTCTGAGTTCATGCAGTCCGCTCGAGCAAGTAAAGTAACGCTCAAGCATGAAATGCGGGTATCCAGTACTTTGCATGTGTTTACAGTCCACTCGAGCAAGGGAATGCACGCTCGAGCGAGGACTTGTGTCTCACACTCAAGCGGGGGTCGAGCACCCGTCGAGCATGAATTTCATGCATCCAGTACTTTTGCAATCTGCTCAAGCGAGGAAAGTCACACTCGAGCGGAGCTCCTTTTCTGCATGTCCGCTCGAGCATAGAAAGCCACGCTCGAGCGAGACCCCTATTTTCTAAAAATTTTGAAAAGTGTTTTAAAGTGCATCTTTGCATCATCATTCCATCCTAGGCATTCCTAGGCCTAGTTTAAGGTATCTTAATGAGGATAATGCTATAGGACCACACCGAGTCAAGATAGGGACTAAGTTATTGTTTCCCAAACGTGCAACTTAGTGTGTATTCATTCTGTAACTGTGTAGGGTTGACATCCGAGGACGCTCACTAACCTATCTGTAGTCCAGAACTCAGTGAGTAACAATGTTGTAAAGATATATTCAATCATGAATATTTTCTGAATGATTAACTGTACTGCTTTCTGAAATGATATTTCTTACTGAATGAATGCTTGTCTTGTTTGCCAACTGTATTCGTGGCATCCATAGCAATTTAATGTTACTGTATTGTACTGCTACTGTCACAGAGATCTCTGTCGGTTCCCATGTTTGGAACCACTACTGTTTACTGATATGACGGCCATCAACTGACTGTTCGGTCTGTTAAGACTTATTGTACTGTTTTACTATGGGATGTACCACATATGACTGCTATGATCGAATGATTGATAAACTGTTATAACTGATTGTTTTAAATACTGAAACGACATTCATTCCTAACCTCTTTACACATATGTTATTCACTGGGCTTTAGCTTACTGTTTATATATATATGTAGGTGTCTAGGCACCGGATCGGAACTAGGAGCGTTGGGTTTAAACTCCCTTTTTGTCAAGCCAACCAACGTGCCTCACTGCGAGGTTCTAAGTGTTGCCAAGCTAAGGCTGTTTTGGGGTGTTTTAGATTCCCCCTTTCTGTTTCTGTTTGTATAGACTGTATGAGACTTGTACTGTACTGTTATGGTTGGGATTTGGTCCCTAACCTGAATGCCTGTATATGACGTATGTATATACTGATATGGTTTGAATGTGAATACGTTATGAAAGTCTTTTTGCATACAGACTGTCACAGCTCATTGGACATCTTTCATTTACTGTTTTGGCTTCCGCCAGCCCCTGTACTCTATATTACTGTTATTATTGTCAAGCAGGCCTTCGGTAATCACGGATTAATGGCCGGTTATAGTGCTAAACCCATAGGGACGGGTTTGGGTCGTGACACATGGACATCCCCTTGACTCCTTAAACATGCATTACGTCGTAATTCGAACTAAGTCGTTCTTTGTGAACTTAAATTGAAACCCACATTCAATGGCATATTTGCTGAGTACCTTGCGAAATTCATCCGCCCCACCCTCGAAACATTACCCAATGTTAGTTATGCCATATACCCAATCCGCTGACAATAACACTTTGTCGGAATGTGGGCAAAAATTAGGTAACAAATCACACTCCTCATCAACATATGCTGCAATTTCCCCCACATCACTAACTATGTCGTCGAGTACATCGTTCACACCCTTGCCACGTTTGAGCCCCCGTGAGTCACCACGCTCCTCCTCATGCACGTCGATATGATCCAATCGAAATGACCTAGCGAGACATACCATGTTCCCGAAATCGGAATCATTTTCCATCTTGAAATTATTGTACGCAGGAATCTTGAATGACATGGACGCCAAATCAGTACGCAGCACACCAAAACATCTACAAATATGATCAACCAACATGCTAAACGTGAAATCATTACGGACCATAATGGCAACGTTTTCAATTCCGTATGAACACAACAACATGATATTGTCCGCCATTCCTGCATCGAGACAGAACGAAAAATGAAGATTAAATATGAAAAATCACATTCGTTGCTTTCGCATTATAAGTACACTACATACATCACACTGACAAACTATACAAACATACAACCATTATGCTTTCTGCAAACACCAATCGAACACATCGATTATTTGTGGGATGTAAAAATCGAAAAATGTAAAAACATTCAACTATTATGGTTTCCACAAACACCCAATCGAACACATCGATTTTTTTGCAAACATCGAAAAATGATGCATGTGTTTATACACCGCCAACATTGCGAACATCGTGACAACGTTTACACCCCCAAAATAATGCCATTAGCACACATAACAAATACCCAACAACATTACCGTCACCATAATCGAAGAACCCAACCCGACGGCCAACAACGTTGAAGCAGACGACTGATTGTACCACCACACAACTCACACAACATAACCTCTCCCCCCCACCACGCAACATTCAAATACTCAGCACCCTCGTCATCCCTAAAAATCTGGTCACAGTTGATCTTCCCATAGTGGACGCCGAAATCAGTGTAATCAAAATAATTCAAACACCCTTCCAAAAACCGTTTCCAACCACACAACAAAGGGTACATTAATCAGAAAAACCATTCCATAATTACATAATGGGATCCTTCGGATCACATTACTAAAAAAATAGGACTTGGACGTGCATTAATTTTGAAAAAGGACCTGGTAGACTACAACTCTCCAAAATAGAAGTTTCCAATAATTTTCCCAATTATTTATGGCTTCCCAAAAGATAAAATAATGTAAAAATGATATGTGCTTTTCATTTTTTATTTCTTTCACTAAATTAATTTTTTATTTTTTAGAATTTTTTTAAAAAATACCTTTTTGGAAACCAGATCAAACATTAATTTTTTTTCATCTCATATTTTAGCAAAATAAGTCATAAAAGAAGAATGGATTGGGATTGTATTTGGCGGGTTAACCAATCCAAATAGCACTGGTAGAAAAGAATTGTTTGGTTCCAATTTTTTGAATTCAATTTTTTAAAAATTAAATTTTTTGTTTTTCATATTTTTTTTTTGTTTTTAGTGATTTTTTTTAATATTTTAAACAAATTTTTATTTTTTAGATGCATCTAACCTAGATGTACCTAAAAAGTAAAATATTTATAAATTTTTTTTAAAAAATCAATATTTATGCAAGAATAAGAAAATGCAGTGAATTTTTATATGTTTTGTACTTTTAGTATTTAGTAAATTTTTTAAAGATTTTTTTCACAAATATTATACTTTTTAATTATATTTGTATTAAGGGTATCTAAAAAGTACAAAAACTTACTTAAAATATTAAAAAATCACTACAAACAAAAATAAAAATACACAAAAATAAAAAAACTCAACTTTTAAAAAATTAAATTTAGGAAATTGGAACCAAACAGACCATCCTTCCCCAGTCAGCATGCGCACTATGCACCCGGTACATTGTAGCCAGGCTCCTAGTAAACAGAGAGGAAAAATAAAGTGAAATATTGGCCTTGTTTGGGAAGTGGCTATTTTAGTAGGCTATTTGGCTTTTTGGCTATTTTAGTAGGCTATTTTAGTTTTGTGTTTGGGAAGATGAGATGAATTTTTAGTTGAGTTGTTGTATTGGAAAGTGTGTTGAAATGATATTTAAATTTAAAATGACAATTTTGT